TGCTACTTCAAGTAAGGTAGGAAACTCCTAAGAGCAAACTAAACTCCTTAATGAAATGTGAAAAGTTAATATTCATAAAATGAATCGGCATACGGCAAAAAAATTAACGAACTTTGCAATTTGTTAATTGCCCCAGGGATTGTCCTGTATTGGTTCTTGTCTACCATGTCCCATTTTAATGTGATAAGGAAATGAATGACCCATTGACACTGTCTAATAAAACGCGCCGGATTCAGCTTTGATTTATTTATTATTAACAGGAAGCGAAACGTGAATGGGTCTTTGATAACCTGGCGACATATGAATTTAAATCGTGGTGTAATTAATGATTCGTCAATTACTTATTGTAAGAAAAATTATCGAACGGTAGCAAAATGTAAATGTTTCCGCACGCATATCTCCATGTTATGGAAGGTTGCGGCTCGAACACAAGGAGTTGGTAGCAAATGTGAGGCTTTCTAAGTTGTCATAGAAACACCCCAAACACCTCCGGAAGGAGACAATTTATGGGCCAGCAAAACTCTATTTAAAATTTGCTACATCATTTATAAAGCTATTCAGTCGTTTTATTTGCAGCATCTCTTGAGTTTTGCGACTGATTATTGCTGTTATTTTTTTTATTTGCCTTTGCGACTGCTAACGAGAAGGTAATTCACAGGGGTATGAGCTCAATTGACCGTTTACGCAATAAGCAATCAGTTTGCCTTGTTTGTTTGTCCATGCTACTACTTTGGTAGGTGTGCGGATTACATTTAGTTTAGAATTGCCCTCTGAATTTGCATATATACTAGCTTTCTTGTTGGTCTTGGTGTACTGTCCTAAACAAGGATTTGGCTACTTCCCCGAGATTTAAAACTAACAAATCTCCGAACAAACCCAAAATCTTTGTTAATTCACTTTCGTGTTGATACTCATTTACAGCACGTTTCTGGATCAGCAATGCTGATAAAAGATTCATTGTGGTAGTCTTACTTTCACAGAAAAATATCGCCATTACTTCTATATGATAAACTAAAAAACGGTATCAAAATTTAATTCCAAATGACAGTCAATAGCATTAAATGGGCGCCATATTGGATTTGTACATGATTAAAAATTCAAGAGAATAGGTAAATATGAGATTTTTCCATTTTAATGAAATATGCCTAATTATAATTTGACTAGTAAGTATTTTATAGTACCTAAATCATAAACCATCGTTCATCTTATAAAAAACAAAAAATCTTTAATCATGTAAAAAAATTAATAAAAAGTAGTTTCGGTAACCGCTATTTTGAATTTTATTTTTCCGTCATTTTTGAGTATCTTAACGAAATAAGGCAAATAACGATCTCATTAGATCTTTTGTGACAGCTTTTACAACTCGTTTTGCAATGACTGAGTTTTAGGCACTACAAGGTATTTTCTAGTATTTTGAGGAGTTTGAATATGCAATATTCTGCAGCATGTATAGTCCAGTAAAATTAGACAAAATAAGGGCCAAACCCGGAAATTTTAAAAAAACAAGCTGAAAATTTGCAGACATGTTCAGGATAGTGCCAGAACCAATTACCGTAAAGTCCCAAAAGATCCCGGTTGGGGAAAGAACGCCATCTTGAAAAAACTACCCCTAAACTCGATTTCTCGAGTTTTGATCAAAACCAATGAACCAATGGCCTGATTCTCGTTGCTAAGGTGTCCAAATGTTTGTTTTAATCTGTATTTGGAGTAAAAAAATAATTCCGCACATAAAGAAGCCCTTGGAAATTCGAGCTTTTTAGGAAAAATCACCCCCAACCTGGATTTTTCACGTTTTCGGCATTTGTTGATGTTTTGTTTGCGCAATCCTAAGATTGGTTGGACGCAGTCCTCCACCTTTTCCTATCCTGCGCTAATCTTTTCAGTTCTACATAACTACCCTCGAGACTACCCTTGTCTATGTCCCTAACTATTTGGTCTATGTATTTAAGTCTCTGTAGTCCTCGTTTGTTACCCTATCCATCCAGCTAAATCCTCATTCTATCCTACTATGAAAAATATAATGAATAAAATAGTGTTCATTTAGTTAGTACTCTCAATCTTGTTCTGAACTCTGAAGGTTTTTTTTAACAGAAATTTTGACATTCAGATAGAGAACGTCAAGAAGAACGATTAGAAACATCAATACTAATTATCCGAAGCTTTATTTAACAAGAACCGGAAAAGAGAGAAACCCATGATGGGGGTGGTTTTTTGAAAAAGGTCACCTTTGCAAGGGCATCGTATTATACGGAATAATTATTTCACTCAAAACAAACAACAAAACAACCATTTTGACACCTTGACGACGAAATTTGGACCATCCGTTCATTTGTTATGCTCAAAAATCGGAAAATCAAATTTAGGGGTAGTTTTTTCAAGCTGGCGTCCGTTCCCTAACCGGGATCTTTTGGGACTTTTCAGGATTTGGTTCTAGCACCATCCTCACCATGTATGCCAATTTTCAGTTTGTTTTTTCAAATTTCTGGGTCAATATCTACTTTTACTACACTAGTAGTCAAATATTGAGACAAAATTTAAACAAAAACAATATACTCAATCCCTTATTGTATCTTACATTAACCACCCTGTAGTAGAAATAAATTATGACCTATTATGCTAAGAGCACTTTTGTTGATATTATGAGGGGGGGTCATAGAATACTCATCATGAAAGAAAGATGGGATAGTCCTTTATGAAAAAGTACCACGAGAGTGTTTAGGTGTGAACTCTTTTCGGAGGAAAGTACTCCACCAACTTTTATTGAAATAACTTAATAAATTGTTTAATGAAAAATACTAAATTCTGCCGCCATCTTGACTTTTGTTTCATTTCCTGTGTCCAAATTAATTGGGATTTTGAATATGTTAAAATGAACACTTTTCACAATAAAATGCCTGGGTCACGGGAATTTTTACGCAATTTTGACTGTACCAAGATGATTTTTGGTAGGGGAAATTAAATGATCGTATTTTGTTTCTGCCTAAATTTGTTCTGTCAATGTCAAAAAGGGATTTTTATTAATAATCGTACAAAACAAAAGTTGATATATTTTAAAAGGAAATTTCGTAAAAATTGGGCTTTGATGTGGATTCTGTTTTATGATGGTTGTAGAGGGTTTTGGTAAGGTAGATTAAGAGATCGTATTTTATTTCTGCCTAAATTTGGTCAACAATGGATTTTCCGAGGGCAAAATATTTCACTTTTCCACATTCGCTTAGCATCAGACAGGACAGACAAAGCTTTTGAAAGCCCTATAAATGACCTAGGGAGTCTTTGGAAAACGCACTAAAGGGGCATGAGTATTTTAAACGCTTCCTAGGCTCGTTCCTGAGCCGTCTTATGCCCTTTCCAGTGCCTTCTATGCTTATGTATCTTAAGAAAGGGCATATAAACCTCTAGCCAGGAAAGATTGCCGGTCACAGAACACCTGATCCCGGTCTACAATCTATGTTAAGACGCTAGCCACTTCCGGGATAGTATCGGGTCAATGTTGAACGAAAAGACTTTGTTCAACATTGGCACGATCCTATTCTGGAAGTCGCTCGCATCTTAAGAAAAACATTGATTGTAGATCGACACAAAGTGTGCTGTGACCTGCAATCTTTGAAATTTTAATAGTACAAGTTCAAAATGAACCAATGAAAAGAGGAAGCTTCAGGGTTTTTAAATCTATACATGCGCTACCAACTCTGGACGATCTGCGGATCTGTGTCACTGTTGCCCTGCACTCTTTCCTCTTTTCTTTCCATTTGTGTATAGATTGCTCATTTTGCATTTGCACTTTAATAAATAATAATTTTTACAATTGAGTCCATCATTTAGAATAAATCTTAATTTCAAAAGAATCAGTGATTTCCTCCACGGGTAGATTAATTTTTTAATATTGATTATTTATTTAGAGAAGTAATTGTTTTTAATTAAATTCGAAATCTCAAATTTTCTAAGAGGAATTTTAATGAGCACTCGAAACTACAAAATTTCACCCATTCAACCTACTCTTCATGCTTTGTACAGGTGATTTGCCCTGATTAATTAGCATTTGTAACCACTAACAGGTGTATCTGATTGGCACCTGCCTGCTCTTGCATTTTAATGAACACATGTGTTAGTAAATACTAGGCTTGTGCTTGTAATAGTGTAGCGCACGTATACGTGTGACAACTTGAAGGAATTTGTTACTTTTGAACATTTATTTGGCGAGATACGAAAACTTTGTCAAATATAATTTTATATGTGACACTACGATCTATCCGATTGCATAATAGACACGTCCGGTATCACTTCCGATTTAATTGGAATTCGATGGAACTTTTGTTTTTCAAATGCAATGCCTATGTTTTTTTAAGATATGTGAAAAGAGCAATCAATTTGCTGTACGATAAAATTAAATATGCATGATATACCAAAAAAATGGAGAAATTCGTGTGAAATCTAGCATGCCATTTGTCATATCACACAGAAAAGACCTGCATCAATTTTTTCAATGTTGCGTGAAGATTCACTTTTTCGGGATTCGATCTGCTTACCTGTGGAACACAACAGACACAGCGCAGCCTGACTCATTTTTTACCACGATGCAATATCTCCTTACTAACGTACGGGTGGTTAAAAGGTAAAACTGCCTATTTTAGATATTGTTACGTAGAATCTTGTAGTGACGTAGTAACAAACAATGGTCGACCACCGTTTCTGAGATTTGACCAAACTTTTGCAACACTAAATGCGACACTCTGTATACTTTAACGTACAATTTTTTGAATTCTTTTTCGTGATTACATTGATGTATCATCCTATATTTTTTGATACCTATATATTATCATATTTTTCAAAATTTTGAAATGACATGTTTCTACCGTCAACCATTTTTATTGATTAATATCAGCTGCCTTAGTTACCATGGATACAATAAACAAATCAAAATCTCGATGAATCCATGGCCTACTATTTAAAAAGAGTAAACAGTCAGGTTTTTATTGATTTTCATCGCTCAAATTAAAACAATACAGGTTGTGATACATCAATGTAATTAGCAAAAAGAACACACAAAAATTGACGTTAAAATATATAGGGTGTTGCATTTAAAAAATACCAAGTTCGGGCCAAAGCTCAGAAAAGGTGGTCCAAAAGTTTTTTTTTTACTATGCGACTGGAATCTACGTAACAATATCTAAAATTGGCAGTTTTTACCTTTTTTTAATCTTACATCGGTAGTAAGATCTGATAACGCCCCAAAAAGTCAAACTTTTCGTTTAATTTTTTATGAATTTGTGTTGCCTTTTTGAATGGGCGGGGTTTCAGGCGGCTCTACCAACCCAACCCGCTATACATATACAAATATCCATGCCCGAACCCGGATTCGAACCAGCAGCTCTTAGCACCGCAGTCCAGATTAAACTGAACTGTGCTACACGAGCCGGCACCCGGTATCTCAGAAACAAACGAAGCTAGATGGATTCTGTTTGTGGTTTCACAAAAAAGTGTCACAGGTTCGCAAAAACCGCAAGTCTCTATTCTTTAAAAACTGCAGTCTCAACCAAAATAGGACACACGGTATAATTCAATTTTATAATTTGCAAACATCGCGACGGGCTGCAGGTTTGACATGCCTGCTGTACTGTAAACTCAGGATGAGACCAACTATATAAATAGTGGAATTTGGTACCTACATACTATTCTTGCATGCTATCATAAATCCATTCTAAATATTGAGACACCCTCATAAAAATTAATGGAACAGTATTGTCACATCTTCCTGAAAATTCGGACAGGACCCCTTCCAAAAACCATTGGTTTTTGTACGAAAACACCAAAGGTCCACCTTTATCAAGGTAACATTGCGACTCGGTATTTGCCCTTCGGTTTGCCGTACAAATATTGTATGAGGTTATTGTGGTTCGTAACAACGCGCTGCATTGCTCGTTGCTTATGAGAGTTGTCGAAATTTTTCGTTTAGTGGTATTTCCTTTGACGAAAAATTGATCGTTCCATCCGGAAAGAAAGAGAGTGCTTCCTATTGTAGGAGAATTTGGATAGTCGGATTCTCGTAAGCATATGGGACGAATGGCATCTGCAATTTAATAGATTACCTAAACTATTATTGGCAAAATAAACGTACCTGAGTATTGAACATTTTTGGCCAGTCTTAGCAAGGCAATGTTGTTGTTGTATGTAAATCCGATCCTGTGCGGGTGTAAAATACGTTTTGCCACCTCATATTCTGCGGAATCACTGCATTCGCTGGTATTGTACATTTTGTTTTCAACACAATCCGCTCTAGACTTATCCTCTGTGCGAAACTTTCCCAAGCGTACACTACAAGTAGATTTGCTCGTTGACAATTTGGTGATTTGCAATTGTTACCTTATGCGGTCATTGTTGTGCTTAATGAGGCAATCGGTGGATGTCAATACATATCGTTCATTAATTAATGTACCACTGCATATGGCAAACGAACGAGTTTCGTCTTTGTCATTAACGTGAAGAATAATCAGTGCTAACCATGGAAATTCGTATATGCTAACCTCATTGATGGGGTGAAAGTAGTCATCGGAATGTTGTAAACCACAATAAAGACGGTTACTTATGTTAGGGATACTGTGTTGTATATGCGGTCGTTTTGAACTTGATTTTGTACAGCATACCATGTCCCTTTTACCAGGTTTACAAAAATGTTTGTCTAAAATGTCGATTGCCGATTTATTCGGATTGGCTAAAGCCGCGAAAATAATTGGGCACTCCAGCAAGGTAGTGCACGTTCCTACTTCTCCATTGTTTGTTGTACATTCTTCAGCCGAAACAGTTCCCAATGCACTACAGACGAGTATGAAGACTAACTTCATGATGACGATAAATTTCACTGAAACAAATAGAGAGGTCAGGGGAAAAGTTTATCTTGTGTTAATGCGCTATGGATATTTTGACGATGGGTTATCAATATTAATATTATAAGTTTGGGATTGCCCACTTTTGTTGGTAACAAATATAATGGTTCAATTTGTAACAGATAATAATTTATTGATATGCTTGTAAAAATTAAATAATAGCTATTTATATATCAAGTACATAAACGAGCCGTTTATTTAATAAACAAATAAACAAGGCGAGTCCCCATAAAGCCTATTTATGGACGCGATATATACAAAGCTTTATGTACGACTGCAACAACCCTTAAAAATGAAATTTTCATGGAATTCAATAAACGATAAAATCTATATATCATTGACAACAGATGTCAAGCATTTGTCAAGTATTTCTAAAATACTTGAATTTACCTTGGATTGACACCTAAGTACGACTGTCACATTGACAGGCGGCCGTTTTACTTTATCATTATGGACTAGGCCATAATATTGCAAATTATGGCCACTAATTGCGACTGTAATCACCGCATTATCAAGCAGTCATACATAAAGATATATTGTTTACAAATAATTCTAAACAAAACGTGATAAAGGTCGTTTTCTATGATATATTTCTTGTCAATAAGAGAGGAGGGAGGTACCCAAGTAAACTGGGGCACCTGTAAATTTTTGTTTCCTCCTCCGTTTCCTCCCAAGATTCCTACTGCCTACAAGATACAAAATTTAGACAAAATCTAACACTTTCCCTTAATTTACCCCGCCTTAACTCTTGCTAACGATTATAAAACGTAATCCACTTCAACCCCTAATTTACCAATTTTCCTTTGAAAAATATCAACTTTTGTTTTGCGCGGTTTCTTTTTTTTTACCATCCGCCGAATCAAACAAATCTTGATGATGTCTGTCGGTCTGTCTGTCTTGTTACGATAATTTTTGCTTTTCTTTGAATGCAAGTTGGTAAATTTGGGATTGTGGAGGGTTAAGGGTTGGGTGGATTAAGGGATCATATTTGGTATTTGTTTTAAATGTGTTTTTAATTATTTTATTGCATGCTTTGCACATTATTGCATATGTTGCATATTATGCAGACGAAATATGCAAAGTAAAAAAAGAAGAGGAAAATTCTATTGTGAGGTTCCGCCATAACCAGAAGCCATATGCAGTTGTTTTAGCTGAAACTGACCCACTTCACACTTGTTTGCCATTGAACTCCCTGTATATATTTTATATGAACGGAATAGTTATGAAACTAACAGTTTTTATTTTTATTTCAGACTGAGTTGTCACACAATCTCCAACAGTTATCAGAGCGAGCAAAATCAACCACTGAATTTATACAACGTTTGAAAGGGATGAGTGATAAAGTGAATGTGAGTTATTGTTAATTATTTGCTGTGAACTTAATTAGATTTTCTATGTCCACAGGAGAACTGTTTGGAGTTTGAGCTTTTAGTTTCCGCCCAATGTGACGCGTTAATAGAATCCATACGTCAGCGACAAGCGCAACTTTTGGAATGTATTCATCAAGATAAGGATTTGCGAGTGCGCGCGCTTAAAGATCAAGTTGCAACCTGCACGTCTCGATTACAACAAACTACCGCACTGCTGCAGTTCTGCATAGAAGCATTAAAGGAAACGGACAACATGTCATTTTTACAAGTACTCGTATTCTGTACGTCGGCAATGATTGACCAATTTGTATTTTAGGTCGGTTCGATGTTAATAAACAGGGTCACTACAACCGATCACTCGTGGCATAAGGAATGGTCCGCACCGAGAGTCTCCCCTCATTTTGATCTCACCTTGGATGATAAATCAGTTCTGAAAGCTATTGAGCAATTGAATTTCATTCAAATGAAGCGTAAGTATTTTTGGAATAGTTAATATTAAATTGTCCACTTTATATTCACATTGGCAATCAATCGTGCATGAGCTGTACAGAAATTTAATAATTTTTGAATAAATGTTAGCTTACAAAGATGGAGAGGAAAGAGTACCAGCAGGTAACAAGGAATTTAATTAACAGCATGCGTTATGTGAAGGGAATGTTTAACATTTATACAGGGTGATGACTTGCGTAACGCATCATAAGGATTTCAATGTAAAATTCGTAACATGCGATTATTGGCTCCCCAAATTATTTTACAGCAAACATGTATTAAAGTTTTATGTAAAAAAATTTTTTTACGTCAATCAACCGTATTAGTTTTCATCTTTTTCAATATTCTGTGATGGCATGGAATTTTATAATGCAAAAACTACGCCAATATCCGTCAGGCCATGGAATGACTGCTATAAAACAAATCAAATTCTATCAAAAAGTTATATAGAACAGCGAATTCAACATAAAGAAAGACCAAATTACTAAAAACAGTTTCCTAATATAACAATTTTCAATAAGTGTTCGAATAAGTTACCATTAACTGCAAGACAGTAACCAAGGCGATCATAAAATCCATTTTGAACTGCTACTAATTGATAACTGGATATCTTTTTGTTTTAGAAAATTCCATGGCACCGCAGATTATTGAGAAAGATGGGGGTTTTATTTTTCCAATTTTCCGGCTTTTTTATGCAAAAAATTGAAAACTAATACGGTTGATTGGCGTAAAAAAATTTTTTCTACAAAAAACCTTAATACATTTTTGCTCTAAAATAATTTGGGGAGCCAATAAAAGCATTTTATGAATTTTACATTGAAATCCCTATGATGCGTTACGCAAGTCACCACCCTGTATATACTTATATGTATAGGTTATACATAGTATGTAAGTATCAAAAAATTTGGTGGTGGTTATTTGGCAAAAATTGATCTCCATACCACTCAATCTTTTTGATACTTTTTAATTGCACCCTGTATAGCTAAATGTATGACATAAACGTTTCTAATTATTTGCCTTTATATTATAGCCCCTACTGCACCGACTATAATTCCGGAGGAATGTAGTGCGGAAAACAACTCTGTCACTGTAGCTTGGCAACCACCATCCCATAGTCATGTTGAAGGTTACGTTTTAGAACTAGATGATGGGAATGGAGGGGAATTTAGGGTGAGTATTGAATTTAGTTATTTACAATTGATTTATATTTAGAATGAAAATGGCAATAGCTTAGCGGGTTAACCATTTGGTAAAAAAAAAGGGAAGGAATTGTGGCAACAACTAACCCCAAAAACATAATCTGCACTCTATGATTTGCAACATTCAATCGATTAATATCAACCATTTATCTGTATATGTATAAATAATCTTGTATTTATTTTGCAGGAAGTATATTGCGGTGTCGAAACAATTTGCACTGTAGATGGCCTACATTTTCATAGCATGTATAATGCAAGGGTGAAAGCATTTAATAGTTCAGGCGAAGGGGAATATAGTGAATTAATTGGACTTCAAACAGCTGAAGGTATAGTTGCAGCAATGAGTAGTAAATATACAGTCACCACCACTTTTTTACATTATGAAACCAACTAATCAATCTATTATATTACAATCTCTGGCTTTTTATGGACTGATCTAAAGAAATTTTAACGGTAGCACATTCTAATAAAGGTAAATCAAGCCATTATATTAAACATTTCAAAATCTTCGCGCGCATGCGCAGAGGTGTCTATTTGTAGGCTGCTTTTTCTCAAATTTTAACAAAACCACTTGTTGCTCGATATGTTAATAGATTTTGTGTTATAATAACATTGTATTGACTTAAAATAAGTAAATAAATAAAACTCCACCGGTTGGTTTCATAGTTTATAAAAAAGCGAATGTGTACCTGCATATTACATATACTTTTAATAGTTGCATGGTTCACTTTCGATTCCGTTCTGTCCGGATCGGGTTTACACTACTCCGAAGATAATGTGCAGGTAACAGGAGAGGGTTGGGAGCATCGTGTAGCGTTGGGAAGTGTTGGATTTAGTCGTGGCGTGCATTACTGGGAATTTACGGTTAACAAGTTTGATGCGGATACTGATCCCGCTTTTGGAATCGCACGCATTGACGTAGCTAGGGATAAAATGCTCGGTGAGTTGTATCTGAAATAAGCAAGTAATACGGATAGTTGTCATTTTAGGAAAGGATGACAAGGGATGGGCGATGTACATTGATCGACAAAGGTCATGGTTTCAACATGCCGGGGGTCACGAACAACGAATTGAAGGCGGCATCGCAACGGGAAGCACAGTCGGTGTGCTTTTGGATTTACTTCGACACACTTTATCTTTCTATGTTAATGAGGAACCACAAGGTTCTGTTGCCTTTACAGATCTTTATGGTGTATTCTATCCTGCCGTTAGTATTAATAGAGGCGTAAGCGTTTTGTTGCATACTGCACTGGATCCGCCTTCAGATATTGATGATATTTAAGTCACCGCAGCTATCTTTTTATAAGTACCATTAGGTATTTTATACATCTTTCATTTAAAACGTTGAACTGCCAATGTAATCAATTTTTTGAACAATAGGGAATTTTATCATTTCACATTCCGTCCCTCGCCAATGTTCTAAATTAATTGTTTAATGATATTTGAGTGCATGTGTGTCAACTCTGGTCTTGTATACGTTCCATATGATAATCAGACCAATTTCGTACTGTGAGGCAATATTACCCATTAATATTAACCATTGTTTATCAACATTTTCACCTGGACTTGCAATAATACAGACTATACTGAAAATATTCACTATAACAATATATTAATATTTCTTCATTGCATATCGTTAGCTATATTATTGATATAGCACCCCTAATCAGTGCTGAACAGTGTAAAATAATGAGAGGTATATACGAACCGTTGGTTAAATTATGAAGCCATGTGAGCGGCGCAGTGTAAGAGACGTCAAGTGTGCGCGCGGCCTATCACATTTCCACTAGTGGAGCCTTATGATGTCTTATACGAAAAAAAATGTCATATCTTTAAACCAGAGTATTTTACTTGCTTGAAATTACTCAACGAACAAACCTTATCTTTGGCAAGAATTTCGGATACCATTGAAATCGGTATTACATTGCAAATGTCATTGTAGAGCTATGAGAAAGTGTCTTTTATTTCTTTGTTTCTCTTGAAGTAACGAAAAACAGTTAATGACATGATATTTCGGGAAGTAAGCATTTCTAATTGTCTAAATGGCATTTTATTGACCCCTTAATTCTGAAATTTTTTGGACATTAAATCGTGTTGTAACTTTGACGATTTCCGAGAGTCCCATGCTATTTGTTTCATTATAATAATAGTTATTAATAATAATAATAAAAAAAAGTGATGATCCCCAGAATATATCTTATCAGCTTGTCAGTCGAACTGTGAAACACCCTGTATATGTGCTCATTGTGCTCTACTTCTTCTGTACTACCCCTTGGAAAAACAAAAGTGCCTCAACTGTTGTCTCCCTACTTTTTCGTTTTTTTTTTATAAAGTGAGCGCATTTTGTGCCTTCAAGGTTATAATAGAGAAATGCAATAGTCTATAATATATAAACAATATTGATGATACCCCCCCTTTCATTTGAAATGATAACTTGTAGGGTATGTAATCCATAAGACCGCAACATTAATCTTCGACAGTGTTGCCTACCTTTTGTAGCTGTAATTCTTATTTGAAAGAAAGAATTTTTCCTATTGATTCTTATTAAATATTTAAAAAATCTGTTTTATTCATTAAAAAAATACTCTCACAAAATAGAGATAAAGATTTACAAAACTACTAAATAACAATATAATTTTTCATGTTTTTAAATCAATTCTAGCTTCTCTTCCAGACGGGCTTCAAAAACACTATGAGAAATATCTGTAATGGTTTCATGGAATGCGGAACACTTAACAAATATTATGTGGTAGATGTCCCATTTCAGCATTTATGTTTAAAACAGTCCAATGAGGAGGAATTCAATGTCTTGAACATATGGATATTAATTATAATCATACAAAACGATACACCTTGCACTTCAAATTGTCGCCAATGTTATAGGTATATTTAATTATATTTTTTTCCAGTTTATTATTTATTTCGACTTGTCGAGTACTTAGTTTATAGTTTACTCAAAAAAAAAGACTGCAAAAAACATGGTAGATATTAGGAATATAATTCTTTGAGAATATGCGTACTTATGAATAGTGTTGTGTTGTTTTCATGATAACTCTCTAGTCTAAATTAATACGTATTACACTTATTCACACATATTTCGAATATTTCACAGCAACACTCACTAGGTATATTTAATAGTTCTATTTATTTGTTACTGTTGATTTGTGTTCATTTATCGAATGTTTTAAAATTGTAATTTGTATATAAATTTGTATAATAAATTCTTTAATTAAAAAACGTACCTGTTGTCTTCTTACACCACATATGATCTCAATTCAAAAATGTGACTGTACCAACAAAATGTGTATGAACTGTACACCTGACTTTTTTACCTCATTCTTGTTACAGTTTATAAATCTGCTTTTTTTAATACTTTACCGATGCAATTAGATGAATAATGTGGCATCCACCTGTTTATTTATTTAAGATTAGGCGTAATATGTCGGTGGAGGGCTTGTACTAGTTACCACTACAGTGACTATACCGACTGGTCATATGGTGGTATTTTCTATTGGTATTTGGGAGTTCCCAATATTTTGCCAAGGATTGGTAGAAATTAACCTCCTGGAAACCAAGGTGATAAATTTATCTTGCTGGACACAATTATGGCAGCATTATTCTAACCATAGCAAAATCTACTAATTCTGTTAAACTAATCGGGATTTAAATTGGAAAAAACATGGCCGACATGAAGCATTATGGCAACACTGTCTTTATGCATTTACTGTAGTCCAGACCAATGGGTGGATATGCACAACAGAATTGTTACTTCTAACGGGTGCACCCAAAATGCATAAGTGACATGCAATTGAAAATCGCTCTTATTTATATACAAACAGATGAACTTGAGAATATCGTATTTCTCGGGTCCAAAAGCGAAAATAACAGTGGCCCCAACTTTGAACCTTATAAATAAATGTTTGGTTACAAGTAACAGTTATGCTAAGGTGTATTTAGTTCGTATTTTGGTCACATCCCGTGATAGCGCTACAGATGTTTGCTGTGCATTTGTATAACAAGCTGTTTAAGGCGCGACGTTTTCCAGCACACATTCAGTTCACCCTTTTAATTTCTTCATGTCTTGCTTACTGTTACAGGCTCCTTTAGCAAGTCCCACAAAGGGTTAAGTTGTTTTTATTTCAAACGTGCAATTTTCTCTGTCATTTACAAAGAGAGTTGCTTTAATGAATCTAAAAAACGCGGGCTTTATCAATATTATCTGAGACTTGAAATATCGAATCATTGATTATACAGTATATACATGTGTATAATCAATGACGATATCAATAAGGAAGGCGCCATCAAGTTGATAAAGGTTTAGTCATCGACGACAAGAAATAAGAGCGGATGATGACTCATTCTTTCTATGCATAAAATATGAAATATGCCTTCTAGATTTCTCTAGAAGGTTTATTGTTTGTTATACAAGGAAATTGAATTGTTTAATCGCAGCCTTAACATTGATGTTGAAATTATATATACTGAAATACGCGCTCGTGTTTATTATTAATACCTAGTCTTGTAAAGAGAAAGGAACTCGGTGCGAAGATTTTGAGTCAAACCCACATTCGAACGATTCGCGATCTGTAATTGTTTTTATTTGTTACTCAGTTGTAAACGTTGATTATCAAGACAAAACGCAAACGGGTAAACGTCATGTTTAAACGCTACTGACTTGTAAAACTGACAGCAGACCTGTAAAAATTTTACAAGTTAGTAATCTAGTAATTTCATTGGCCAGAATTAATGCGAAATCGCTGTTACATGGATAACATGATATTTTAGACATTTCTTCAAGATCAATTTAAAAACTAATTATTTACGTTTACTATTGTTTACAAATGAGTAACAAATAAAATATTGTACATTATACGCCAGGTAACTATGAATTATAATTCATATTTGCACACAGCAGGACATAATGTCTTACTAATTGGGCTTCTGCTATCAAAATTATAACAAAGTACTCATTATACAATAACCGTTTTCCAATTATTATAATTACAAAATTGCGATTGTCTGAATATCTGAAATACAACGTGTTATATAGCATACTTAGCTATGTTGTCAGGATAACAATGTTGTTAAGGCATGTGATTGGATGTTTTTGTAAAGAATGATGTTATTCTTTGAAAAAACATCCAATCACATGCCTTATTATCAACATTGTTAGCCCGACAACATAATACCGGCCGTAAGTGCACTGATTTCTCAAATTAAATGTATTTTACGCTTTGCAAAATACAAATATTGATCTGAATTATATTCGATCGTTTCTAAGTTTCTGAAGTACTCCAATTTACACATTCTGTAAATTACAAGTACAATATTTTCAAACGCATTGTAGTTAGTGTAGTATTACCGATTACGCATATGAAAACGTTTTGTGAAGATCATTTCAGCTATGAAGTGTCGCTCTATTGTTGGCTCGAAAATTCGCATCGTGCCTGTACATAAAGTAGACCAGTGTTTTTCGTTAAGTAATGTGAAAGTTGGCAATTCTGTAACTGTCAGTTGTGTTGTATTTCAAATTTGTGTTAACGGTCGTACCGGCTTCATCTGGGAGGATAACCGTTGTGAAACGTTTTTACGTAGATTTTAGATTTCTCTGAGCTTTTGTAGTTGTTTTCAGTGCAGGAATTTGTGTTTTTTTCGTTTACTTAAGTGACATAACTGGATTTGTTTCCACATTTTAAAATGGCCGCATTAAACAAGTAAGTGCTCTACATGTTTTGTAACAATATCATTGTACAATTTTATTAAATTACCCACATTAATTGGAATAACTCCTGGTCACTGATTTGCATTATTCATTTTTCAGTTTTGAACAGCTGTTACAAAACGTTACAAACATTTCCGAAGAAAAGACGAAGAAGTGGTGGGACGTTGTTGTCAGTATGATGGGCACAAATGACGTGACAGTGCATTGGAGTCAGATTTTTGTGAAACAAGTTACGGAATTATTCGACGAGATGATTGATGAATCGATTCAAAAACGTCTTGAAATGCTGAACAAGATCGAGGTGCTATTACAAAAATCGTCCTCGCTGTGCAAGGACTTGAATATAAAATTGCCGAGTTACGGATCCCAACAGTTAACATTGTGTGAAGAACAAGAATACCTTTTAACGTGGATCAGCAGGTAAGATTTCACATGTGCACTTCGTTAAGCAAATTATAAAGGGATTTTAATAACCTTTGCTCTCTCAAATTGAATGTATAAAGCTGATTTTTTTAATAGGCACGAACAAAAGTTAGAAGAAATAAAGACAGAAATTAAAAAACTAAATAAAGAAGAAATGTTGCTAATGAAATCTTTAGGAAGAACCCCCTGTCCATTACCCGTAAATCCGCTACCTTGCAACGATACCATTACAAAATTTAAAGCCCATCTGGAAGAGCTCGAGTCTTTAAAATTCGAGCGAGAAGAACAATATTTCGCCGCGAAATCTGAAATATTGAACCTTGTCGAAGAGCTTCAATACGAGCCGGCTTTAGATTTCGAACGTGCTGTCTTATCACAAAATGATTCGTTGTTCGAGGTCTCCGACCCTAATATGGAGAAAGTGCACTCATTTCTGGATTCATTAAAGCAGCTCTCGGCCGAAATGAAAGAGGAGATCGCCAGTTTGAGAGAAAAGCTTAACTCGATGTGGGACTTGCTCAACGAAGATTTGAGAGTACGTGCGGATTTTGCGAAGAAGACCACCTACAACAGTAAGCAAACGTTAAAAGCCCTCCAAGAGGAGGTTGCACGATACGAAGATCTTAAAAGAGCTAATATAGAGGTAGGTAATGCAGTCTTTACTCCACATTAAATACTGGATTTGTTTCTCTTTGCAGCAATTCGTGTCGCGTGTTCGTAAGGAGCTGGTGACTTTGTGGGAAAAGTGCCATATTAGCGAAGAGGAAAGATCTAGGTTTGAGTACTTCAATAGTGAGGTATATAGTGAGGATCTATTGAGTATTCATGACTTAGAGCTGAGAAAGTTACATGTTTACTACAGCAACAACAGGTAGATTACTTTCTTTTAATGTTGCGAGGTAGAACTTACGATAGTACTTGGTTTTGCGCCATAATGTGCCAATAAAAGTAATATACAAATTTAAAAAAAAGAAAGGTTATATAAAAACAGAATTGGCAAAAACCCATGGGTGTTTTTTGTGGGTTTTTTTTTGGGCAATTGGGTTTTTGTATGAATATCGTAATGCCATCTGCTATGGGATAGAACAAAAAATTCAAAGCTAAAGGCAAACTAAATTATTAAAACTGTTGCGGTAACAATGAATCACTGTCAACTGTCAACAATGAACTAGACTCACAGAACATCTGTCTAGTCGAAACCAATCCGTCTTAATGTAATATAAAAGTATTTGTATGAGCTGCTTGTTAATTAAAATAAAAACTAACTTAACCTACTCTAGACATAAAAATACAGTTCCTTTACTGTTCTTTTACCTGGGTTTTAAGAAATGTTTTTGTAAAAAACCCACCCTTTTTTTGTTGGGTTTTTGTTTGCCAACTCTGTATAAAATATATGTATTTTGCGTCACCCTTTTTGCGCTAAAGTTACATCATTAACTTGTCCTAAAAGTCCGCTTGCAACTGGGGTTTTACTTTTATTTCCGCTTACGAAATTAATTTTTTATTTAAACAATCCACAACAGAATATCACAATTTTTCTTGCTTTGGGAAAAACTCCAAACTAACTTTAAATGGAGACCAATTGTCTGCTTTGGATAACGAAATTAGTTAGAGACTTCAAATTTTCACTAAACGCTTTCTGCTATAGTGTAGATCTGCAGGCTTAGTTTAGTTGAATTACTCATGAGATTAATAATTTTAAACTTTTACTGATAAAATAGTGATCTGTATTACCAAAATTGCGCTTTTCATCATGCATATTATGCTGATGTACAACTTGTTTATTTTGGGATCCAACTATCCGCTTTTAACGACAAAGTCGAGAAAATTTGGCCTTTCCCGTGGCCTCTCACGCGAATCTCTAAACCTCCTGAAAAACAATCTTCCTTCTGTTAATTAGTAATTTTCTATTATCTGCAAATAGTGGATTGTTTTTTAATCACTGCAATGCTTAAATTCTATTGGTTAACTTGGCATAATTTTAAACCATTTCTGAACCAGTTCCAAACACACATAATTCAAAAAATTCGCTTACTCAATACTTTATACTTGTACTCTGTATGCAACGTCAGAAATGTAAGGTAATATGACTATTTAAAAAAGCTGTAATTCTATCCAACAATCCCAGGTGACAACTGGTGATTTGAAACATTGATAATCACAGTGGGGAAATGACGCACCCGATTTTTATTCCAATCATCACAATAAAAACTTGAAATTAACATGAATAATATTTGTTTGTGAGAATGTTCTCAGAACCTTGACACATTTCTATCTTAAAAATTCAACTTTCACGTATATCGGCGGGGAAAAAACATTCGAAAAAATTTAAATGAAATAAAATGCTTTTGTTACAGTATGCAACTCACTGTTCATTTTTGTTCTGTTCCGAATTCCATTGTTATATTTTGATAAAAATGAAGTTTACCCTTTATTAAAGTGACAATCCTAAATAGTCCGCGATAGTCGATAATTTTTTTATTATACGTTCTCTCGTAAATACCTTTTTTTGTGTTTATTACTAATAATTCATTTATTTTATAGCATATGTTAAAATGACATTTTAATAGGTTTGAATGAGTAGGCTAAGCCGTTCTTTAAGGATAGATAAAGTGATCCCTTTAACTGTAAGGGTAGATAAAGTGAAACAAATGATTGTGCATTCTATGACATCTGTCATTCTTATTTCAAATGCACATTATAAAATGATGTTGAGAACATAGGCGCTTTCTTTCGGCTACTTCGCAATCATGATTTCGAGATCGTGATTCGTATGATCACGTTTTACGAAAGAACGCGCGAATTGAATCAAAGTATGGTTAAGTTTACGTAGTGCACATTTGCATTCGAATTATGTATTTTTTGTTTGGATTATGAAAATAATTTAACTACAAATGGAAGCACTTGCGATTATGCTATACAAATATTGACTAATCTAACATTTGAGCAAAAATATACTTGTATTTATAGGTTAGGAATTCGTGTCAAAAAACTTTTATGTTCAGTTTGTTCACGATTTTAGCAATCATGATTATAAGATCACACTTCGAAAGAACCTGATTTGACAATCCAAACGCGTTTGGATCACCGAAAGAAAGCGCCTCGTACCACAAATTTGTTTCTATAGACACGATCGCGACAGCAGAACGTAAGCTTACTATTTTTGACGTGCCTAAAGTAAATTCAGAATTGTCAGAAGCTTTACAATGATTTATATGGCTTCTGCTACAAAATAAAGTTTTGTATTATATACAGGGTGATTCCTATAGTACCTGCCACCGTTTGGGAGCGTATAGGGGGTGCCTAGGGGAGTATTTTGATATAGGACACTTGGGGTCGGAAATCTAAAATAAGGGCGCCAGAACCAAATTTATCTTCTGGAATTTCACGCCTGTATGTAGGCAACCCAACCGACCGACGTTTCGCGCGGAGCGATGCAGAGCGAGTTAGCGCGAGGAAGCGACATGGGAGGGAAGGAGGGAAAACGACAGTCAAAAGCAATAACGTTTACAAGTGTTCAACGTGGCCACCGTTGTTCTCAATGCACTTCCTACATCTAGCCAACTATTATTATACTATTGCCATAGTGTTTATTCACTTGATACGCGTCGTTGCAGACGGGATTTCGTGGGTTTAAACAAAATTCTGATCAAGTGTCAGCCACACATCGCCGCCTGAGATCGCTCCGTGTGCACCGCCGGCCGGTTGGGTTGCCTACCTACAGGCGCGAAATTCCAGAAGGTAAATTTGGCTCTGGCACCCTTATTTTAGATTTCCGACCCCAAGTGTCCTATATCAAAATACTCCCCTACGCACCACCTACACGCTCCCAAACGGTGGCAGGTACTATAGGAATCACCCTGTATATTTCAATCAAAAATTGTCACCCAAAAGGCACATTTTCAATTTTTCAATGTAAACGCCACCTTAAACAGAACGAAACCAAATTTTTAGATTCCAAAAAATCGTGGCAACAGTTCTCGCTTTCCGCAATATGATTCTTGTTATCGCCAGTCATACTTTCGTTCACGTTCGCTATAAAACGGTACATGTGTAAATTTTCCTATACTGTACAAAACACAAATTCGAAAAAAAACCTTTTTTAATTCTAAACCGACCACCTATTACAAGGTCCCAATGAAACAAATTGTTTTCTACCAACTACCACCCTTTTCCCCTAAGCTTTTGGTACTCTAATAAAAGTTGTCCAAGAAAGGAATTAATTTCTCCAACGACTGCTCTCCTTGACCCCTTATCTAGTTCGGATGTAATTCCTCCTAGGTATCTTGAGAGGATGAGGGTACTCGCAAAGGGAAAATTCAACATTTGGACAAACACGACATAATCTATTTTGGTGATGCGAATGCCTAATATACATATCCACAATTTGAACAAAATCCTTCAATCTGTTTGCTCGGAAAATTGCCCATGTACATACATACGTACAGACGGAGAAAAATTTTATTCTTTAAAACTTGCCTAAAATGATCTAAAACAAAATATTGGTATGTCGAAAAAACGGTGAGCGCAATATCCAGGTGGCTCAAGCTATGATGCTAAAAAAGTTACTTTTTATTTAGGCAATAAAAGAACTATATTGCAGCACAGTCTACAGGGTGTTTTTTTGGGAGCTTTAGTTAAACGTTTCTGGGAAAGTAAAATAGGTAGGCTTTTGAAAATTTGTACTTAGGAGTTACTCTGAACACCTATAAGAAGCCTAACGCTTATGTCTCAAAATATTGGTTGTGACAAAATGGCAAATTCACTCACTTCGACTCTATTGGATTATATTCTCAGTTCCTCTGTCGAACGGGGTAGATAGTAAATGCTCTGAACACCGAATCGATGTAAAATATTTTCAAAATGGCCACACTTCCGGAAACACCGGAAGTAGATAGTAACTTCGTTATTTTAAATGGCAACCCCTATTTTTTATTGCATTTTTGGATTATACGTAAAATTTCAATTCTTTTGATACCCACATGTCCATATCTGCCATTTATGGTTTTTAAGTTATTTTGACTTTATGAAAAATAATGGCGGATACAGATGGTACCTTGATAATTGATTACTTGAAAACGGTTATAGTCATGGCAACCCATTTTTATCATTGCATAGAGAATGAATAGGGCTTTCTTTTAGTGTACTTAAAAAAAAATTAAGTTGCGTACATCCAAATTTAAGAAACTTCAAAGTCCAAAAACTCAGTTTTTTTAAATGAAATGACCATGTTCTTACTATAGCATGAGATAGAGAATCGAAATTGGAATATTTTGATATTACATGTTCCTATAGCTATCTTTAACATTTTCTGATTTATTCCCATTTCATTGAATTGATGCCATTTTTTTTGCATTTTCAATTTAGTAGTTGGCCATGATTTTACAACAATCGAATTTTAAACAAATCAAGAACAGGATTCTTTAATATCATTGATTCTAAATAATTCATTAATAAATAAGTCATTTATTAAGGATATAGGACGGAAAATTTTTGAGAAATCTAGACAGAGTCGTTCAACTGAATTTCTTAAACAACGTATAAGTCTAAAAATTCAGAGAGGTAATGCGATATCTGTTCTAGCAACAATTCCATACCAAAAATGTTTCAACGAAGTTTTTTATATTTTACATTGAATTTATTTTGTTAATCTTGCATTTGCAATTCAATTCATTTTCTTAAATATTCTCTTGTAGAGCTTTGTATCACTTGTGCTTCAACGGTTTGTAGTGCATTTGGGGATACAACATTTCCAAAATTCATACAATTTCGTTCCAGTGTTCGAATGAATGTACGGCAAGCATGTGCCGCGATTCTGTCCATTTCACCATAAATAACAAATTAAATTCCAAAATAGGTGAAACCACTGCGAGTCCTTTTTTGATTTTTGAAAAACTTATGTTAACCTATAACAGTAGGTGACGGATTAGTGTCACTAGAATTGTTTAAAATTCAATTGTTATAAAATCATGGCCGACTACTAAAAAGAAAATTCGAAAAAAATAGTGTCAATTCAATAAAATGGGAATAAGTCAGAAACTGTTAAAGATAACTATAGGAACATGTATTGTCAAAATATGCCCATTTCGATTCTTTATCTCATGCAATATTAAGAAAATGGTGATTCCATTTAAAAAAACTGAGTTTTTAGCCTTTGAAGTTTCATAAATTTGGATCTTCATAGGGGCGGTCTTACGCAACTTAACTTTTTTTTAAGTACACTAAAAGAAAGCTGTATTCATTCTATATGCACTGATAAAAATAGGTTGCCATGACTACAACCGTTTTCCAGTAATCAATTATCAAGGTACCATCTGCATCCGCCATTTTTTTTCTTAAAGTCAAAATAACTTAAAAACCATAAATGGCAGATATCGACATATGGGTATCCAAAGAACTGAAATTTCACGTAGAATCTAAAAACCCAATAAAAAATGGAGGTTGCTATTTAAAATAACGAAGTTACTATCTACTTCCGGTGTTTCCGGAAGTGCGGCCATTTTGAAAATATTTTACATATTTACATCGATTCGGCCTTCAGCGTAACTCCTAAGTACAAATTTTCAAAAACCTATCTATTTTACTTTCCCAGAAACGTTTAACTAAAGCTCCCAAAAAAACACCCTGTATAATTAATATTCAAAGTTCTACGATAGCCTTGATCCCAATATTTTGAGGGTTGAATAACAGATGTATACCGTTTTAGTGACTTATTTGCACTGCTGGAAAAGCGTTCTGAACTGTGGAGTAGAATGTTGGAATTGGAGAATAATGCTTCGGCTCCTGATCGTTTGAAAAATCGGGGTTGCCAGTTATTGAAGGAAGAAAAAGAAAGAAATACGCTGCAAAAACGTCTACCAAAGATAGAACAAGAGCTGATACGTCTGGCAGATCTGTATGCAGTAAAACACAAAAAACCTTTCTATTCGTACAGTAAGACTGTGCATGAGATCATTGCTGAGACCCATAGCACTCTTGATGAGGTATGTAGTAAACATACTCGTATTCTTAATTACTTATCTTATTAATGTTACTTGAATCTTACAAACTTTCTTATAACAAATACTTTTCATCTTGTGCAAAACAATTCCATAATCCCGGCTTTTGAGAGTATAGTGTAAATGTTCATCTTTGTAACTAATCCTGTATTGTTGATTATATATTCCTCCTATTATTAACTTGTGTTGTTGGGCAATTATTATTAGGATAAAAAACAGAAACTAAGTATTCTGAAGCAGAAAAGGGAGCAGACACTTACGCCAGGTAAACTGGGAATGACGTCCAGTTTGAGTGTTCACAATTTGGCCCAAACGCCACAAACTGGCAGCAAAAGGAAACTGCTGATGCCCTTCGAGCCGCCGTCAACAAGATCGAAGATTCTTCATGAACGAAATTGTATGTTATTAGTTTGTGTGCGGATATTTCTAATTTATATCCGCAGTTCCCGCGACAGCTCCATCCAAATTGGCACACGCGCAACACACGGGTCGCTCACATTACAATACCGAGAGGGCAAAACGCATTCAAAAATGTCGTCGTTTGTCTCGAAGAAAATTACAAAACGACCTCGAAAACGTTTCGACAGAATACAACATGTTCGAGGTAACTTTCGAGCGATTGAGAGTGAGCTGGGCTGATACATGCATGTCTGTTTTAGAAGGATTTGGCTCACAAAGAAGGGTGCAGAAGCACCTTGTATGATAAGGAGAATGTACTCGCCATACCTTTACCTGCGACACCACAGCCGGGCAGAACAAATTATGAGAATTGCAAATTTTAATTAATTAGATTTAATATTGTTAACATTTTAAATGTATGGTGTTTATTTTATTTATTTTTCCTTTAGTTATTTGTAAATTTGTATCATTTAAATATGTGCAAAATAGTATTATATTTTTATATATATATTTAATATTTTTTTTATTATTGATTAATTTCTTTTTAACAGAAACTCGCTTTCTGATGATGTATATATGTATATATTTTACTCTAAGCACTACAAATAGGTTTAAAAGAAGATATTAGTGAAGTACTAATAAAAAAACTAACAAATTTCGATATTAAATATTGAGACAGACCGGACAGACTAAGATATCGAGAATCAATCTATTTAAATGATCACACCTTTATTTTATAAATAACACTTGAAATTTTACTCAAGAAGCTGCTTTGAGAATCGTCAAATGTTTCTACTTATAAACGCATTTTGAAGTATAATTGTAACAATTTTTCTGTGATCGCATTTCAACAGTGTGATGATTTTTTCAAATAGTTTAGGAATTCGTTAAAAAAATTTCCTCTCAATAGTCAAACAGAAGTAAACAATGTCTTCTTGGCTGCGTACTTGATTACCATATTTGACACGGAGCGGTTGCATTATAATAGAAAAATCGGTACTTTAGAAAACCACAATAAATAGAAAGTTAATTTGTACTTATAGTAATACTAATTTGGTGGCAGTGTGAATTACAGATTTGTAATTTCATGTACATATCAATTTGTGTATAGTCTAAAAATAATATATCTTGTACAGTTTCGTGAACTTATTCTTTTTATGAAATATGGATATACTGATGGGCGTGGGGGGTAATTTTTGAGAAGTTTCTCAATTGAATTGCGTTTATTTTTCCGTCTTGATATTTACTTCGAAGTTATAAATAACGAAATACGCGCTTGTGTTATAAAAGTGACTCCAAGTCAGTCATAAATCTATTAATGAATGGTTATAAATTTAGTTTACAGTGCAAAGATTATATTAAATTAATATTTGTGTAGATATAAGCCGTTGACGTTTGTATTTTAGAATATCTTGCGCCTCAATCTCTTTTTTTAGTTATTAATTATATTGAAAACGTACACTCAACACAGCCATATGGCTCTTGAGAGTACATGCCATATTTCACTACAACATAATTAAATAGTATACTATTGTGATTCATGGCAAATAATATGTTCTATTCTATTCAATGCCTTTTGGAAGTTCTAAAAGAGAAAGACGTATTTAATGGATACAAAAGTTCCTTGTTGCAAATATTGGTGTCTGCTACCAAAAGGATAATCCAAGAAAAGGTGTAATGGAGATTTTGGGTTTTTTTTGGCGGTAAAGAATATCCGGTATTATCCCCGCGCGGTCTAGCTCTGGGGTTGATAATCTCCAAGGGTGAAGCGATAGAGTTCTCGGGGCTGGGGTGACAGGGATAGTGACGATAACTTTGTATCTGATAAAGCAGATCTTCCGCTTTTATACCTGAGTAATTCAGCATGGGATTACACCAATTGTGCTATTATCATATACGCCTTTTATAAAATTTATTACTTTTATAGCGCTTTGTCACAAATTAGAATAAGCTTTCTCTGTTATGCGATTGGAAATTAATGAAGGCACCAATTTGTACGTGCTCGCTCTCAAAGTTAATACGCAAATTAATTTTCTCGCGCCGAAGTTGTACGTGTTTGTTCTCGAAGTTAAGCGTTATTGTATTTCGCTGGTTGGAAAAACCGAAAACGGAACCTAGTCATTGAATAGTCGAGGTGTCTGCGTTTTAGTCGAAACGCACACCAGGCATCACTCTTAACTCGAGACATAGCTTTGTTCACGGTTACTGTGAAGCGGTATGTGTGTAAATTCCTCTATTTGAACAAATTCAATATTATTTGTATTGAAATTTGTTCCAATTTGTATAGGTTATACAAAGAAAAAATCTCTTTAACAACAAATAATATGGGTTACTATTTGAAAAAAGTTGTTTGACGCCGCGGCGCTAAAAACCCAGGTATTAAAAAATCATTCGTGACAGTCTTAAAATGTACATTGCCAAAATTTGAACAAGATCAAAATAATCGTTTTGCGTTTTTTTAACTAGCACCATTGGGATCTCCATACAGGTGAGACATACAATGTAGGTTAAATGGGGCCAAAGTTGCTCATTTTTATGACTAAAAAAACGCATTTAAAATTTTCGAAAAATCTTTGAAAGTAACTGAGATAGGTATCACAGTCTACACGGAGAAAATTGTATGTTAAAAATATAATAATAGGTATCAAAAAATATAATACGTATAGGGATAGCTATGAAGAATTATAAAATTTATCATATACATATTGTTGAAAGTGTATATATAGCTAGTTTTACTATATATTGTTTTAACTCATACAAAAAAACTGTAGGTAACGGCAACTATCTCATATGCATGCTTTTGTAATACGGGAGTAGTTGAATTAACATCTCCGCTTTGTATTAATAAGTAACTTAGATTATTGCACACCCTGCCAAAAATCGACTGCACCAAAATTTCTCGGGAAAACTCTTTTTCTTATTAATTTTGGTGCGTAGAATCCAAAACAATTCGTACTTTTTCGATCAGACTTCTCAATCAAAAGTTATAGACTAGAAACCAATTTCGAAAGACAATTCAAAGGGCCGTAACTTTTGAACTAGTAGCCCAATCTTGGAACTGCTTGAAATTATGGATTCTACAGGCCACATTCTATAAGAAATTTTTTTTCCGGGTCGATCTGAGACAATTTTTTTTGCGAGCCTCAAAAAAACGCAGTGTATAACCTTCATTTTTTACCAAAAATCGACGACACCAAAATTTCTCGGGAAAACACTTTTTCTTATTAATTTTGGTGCGTAGAATCCAAAACAATTCGTACTTTTTCGCTCAGACTTCTCAATCAAAAGTTATAGACTAGAAACCAATTTCGAAAGAAAATTCAAAGGGCTGTAACTTTTGAACTAGTAGCCCAATCTTGGAACTGTTTGAAATTGTGGATTCTACAGGCCACGTTCTATAAGAAAATTTTTTTTCCGGGTCGATCCGAGACAATTTTTTTTTCGGGATTCAAAAAAAGGCAGTGTATAAACCTTCCTTTTTTAGCAAAAATCGACTGCACCAAAATTTCTCGGGAAAACTCTTTTTTTTATTAATTTTGGTGCGTAGAATCCAAAATAATTCGTACTTTTTCGATCAGACTTCTCAATCAAAAGTTATAGACTTCTCGTACTGATTACAATATAATTTTTACTATATGATTTTAACAATCCATTTTTCTCCGTGTACTAATTGGATTTTTACGGAATGCGATAGATGACAAAAAAAAGAAAATCATTTGAATGCATCGCCATCATAGCCATATTGATTCTGCAAGGTATAACTTCTGATTTTAAATTTGTTTATAGTATAGAGTGTGACACGTCATTATTCTCTTTTTTTGTCCTCTATCTCATTCCGTAAATATCCAGTATGGCGTCTATAATTAAGTATATATAGTAGCCTATAGCTTCTACATCTAGCGTGCTATGGAAATTTAGATTCTTCGAAAAAAACCATACATTTATTTTATTGCCTTTTATTTAATAGTGGGCGGAGTGTTAGCAATTTGCTACTGTTCCCACTCAACCCACTATACAATCACAAACAGCCATGCCTTACCTGGGATTCGAACCCAGGACCATTGCAGCTCGAACCCAGGATCCTTGTAGACGACCATTTAAGCTAAGGAAAATGAAAACAAACTTTTTTCAGTGATATCTAAGTTATTTTCAAAGATTTTTAAAAAATTTGAAATGTTCCAAAGGGGCAACTTTGCCCCCATTTAACCTACACTTTACAAGAATGTTATTCTTTTGCTTAAAATTATCTAAAATGTGAACATTTAATGGTGACGGTGATCACAATAGCCACTCGTCTGGGAAGCTAAAAATTAGGTAGTAGAGGACCAAAAGAAATATTTTGCCAAATAAATTGAGCGTCCAAAATTTTTAATTTGGGAGCTATCCTCTCAAAAGCCTTAAAACGCGTGTTAATTTTTGCTTGCCCCCCCCCCCCCCCATGAAAATTATGGTTGACGTGTTTCAAAATTTTTGGTCTACATCAAATGACTTACTTTTAATTGGAACGCACTGTATGTTCTATCTGTTAAAATTTGCGGCGTTGCCAATTTAACTTCTGGTTAAATAATAATTGACAGTTGACAGAAGACAATTGACATGACACACTTCCCAAAATGATATGTTGGTTTAAAAATTTTGAGAAAATCTCTTACAGACTTTACAGTTCGACTCAGAACCTTCGAATAATAAATATTTTCAGGAGCAATTATGTCGGTGAAAAGATTCAGATTAAGGTATTGGTTACTAATCTAAAAGGCAACATTGTCCACTACTGTTTAAGGGATGGATAAAAGCCTCGAGGAAGATGAAGCAACACCTTTTCTTGGATGTCAATGATGGATCCTGTAGCAAAAATCTGCAAGTTATAGCAACCACGGCTAACGCTTCTTCGTTAACTTCGGGTTCCTCTATAATCGCTACTGGAGTGTTACAGCACTCGCCCAAGAACGAGTTTGAGCTTAACAGCGAACACATAGAGCTGTGCGGAGGTTGCAATATCCAAGATGGTTACCCTTTCGCACCTCGTAAAGTATATTCAACCGATTATGTTCGGCAATATTTACACTTCAGACCACGTACTTCTCACTTTTCATCTTTGTTACGTATTCGCGATGCTGCAACGAGGGCTATACACAACTTCTTTCACAAAGAAGGCTATTTGCACGTTCATACACCAATTCTGACTTCCAACGATTGTGAAGGAGCAGGAGAAACATTCGCAGTGGTTCCAAATAACCAAGAAACCTTACAAAATATGGTGAGGTCGCGTCTGTTGCCCGAAGAAACTTACTTCAACTCGAAAACATTTCTCACCGTCTCCGCCCAATTACATCTGGAGGCCGTCGTTCACGGGTTAAGCAAGGTGTATACATTAGGCCCCACATTTAGAGCGGAGAATTCTAAATCACGTTTGCACCTTTCAGAATTCTACATGTTGGAAGCTGAATGTGCTTTTATAAACGGGCTCGACGATGTTTTAGTGTTCATTGAAAAATTAGTCAAGAATGTCACTACGGATGTCTTAAACGAATGTGAAGACGATCTGAAAAAATCTAGCGAGGGCGGTGATAATTTTGCATGGCTTGATAAGAAGTTTGTGGTGTTGACGTATGATGGCGCCGCGGCCATTCTAAAAGACAAAACGAAATATCCAGGTGACTTTGTCGAAGGAGCCAGCTTAAATAAAGACCATGAAAAGTTCTTAGTTGAGTACTGTGGAGGAATTCCAACGTTTGTAATAAATTGGCCGAAAGACCTTAAACCATTTTACATGAAAGAATGTGTGGAAGACGAGTCACGGGTAAGGTGAGGTATTTCAGGAGCAATTTTACATTTCGGCCCATTAGGTTGCCGCTTTAGACTTGTTGGTGTCAAATGTTGGCGAGCTGGTAGGAGGGAGCTTAAGAGAGAATTGCCGTAACAAACTTGAAGCAAAATTACCTCGTGATGGTGTCGAGTTAGACTGGTACTTGGATTTACGAAAGTTTGGTGGTACACCCAGTGGTGGATTTGGTTTGGGGTTTGAGAGGTATTTGCAGTTTATTTTAGGTATAAACAACATTAAAGATGTTATTCCATTTCCTCGTTGGCCTCATAATTGTAAATTGTGAACTTTTTTGTAATTTCTAGTATTTTTATTTATTAGTAAGAATGTAAGTTTAATGTTTTTTTTATATCTCACGATTGTGACTGCCAATAAAAGTTATGTTAAAGCCGTTTTTTATTATTCCAATAAGGATATACCTGGCGCTCACCCAGGAAATCCAGGTCAATTCCCGGTATTGTTCTTCTTCCTCAACTCTCCTGTTCCATCCACAGTTCCTTTCCATCACATCTCTTAGAAAACAGTTTTTTTTCTTTCTTTTGTTAATGTTATCCATGATTGATATTCTTTCTCTAACCCTTTCTAGTACTTCTTCATTCTTCACCATCCAATTGTATTCAAAATCCTTTTCCATAGTGCGTTCGTAAACAATATAAATTAAAATTAGTGTACAAACGCACAAGATTTGTGGGGATAGGATTTACATGATTGACTAATTCAATAACAAAAAAAAACCTAACAAACAAAAAGAAAAAATTATCTATCGGCCCTCTTGAATAATTACTAAGTGCGACTAATAATACCAAAAGTTTAATTAATCATAATTGATTATAGGACAAATAATGTTCTATGAAAATATTAAAATTAATTACCGTTAATGTTAATAACCGAGCGTAACATTTCCGGCAAAGAACTGTAATGAATATCACAATTTTGTGAAATTAAATTAAAATTATGAGATTATAAATAACGGGTTTTCGTGCAACAAATTAGATTTAGGAGTGGGGTTTGTAAAGGTACTAGCATTTCAATTAATGCGCACCGGAACGGTGAAGTTTAGGCCAGCTAATAAGTGCGGACAATCAAATTATGGATTGTCAAACAAAAATTTTATGCTATTAACTGTTACCGTAACTATACCAATTGACAATCAATATCCACTTTTTCTTCTGTTGAATACATCGCACAAGAACGAAAAAAAAATACGGAAGCCAAAGAACAATATACTCATTGCCAGATCTTTATTTGTTTTAAGAAGTTATTTTAGTTGCATAAAATTAGGCGCCCTTCAGCAGGATTTTGTCATTTCATACATAGGGAAAAAAACAATACACACTCAGTCAAATTTCTAGGGGAGCTATGAAAATGGGAGCGTTGCGAAAGAATTTTGAGCACTTAATCAATTCATAAAAATGTCTTGTTTGGGCTTGACCAGCTTTAAGTCTTTGTTGTATCGGGTTTTTACTTATACCACAGATTAAATACAATCTGTGATTATACTTACTTATAAACAGTTTCGAGTATGAACGCGAGGCATGCTGATATGTCTTGGGAAGTAATAATAGAGATTTACTGGAAAATGCGTATATAAAAAAGGAAAGAAGAAAACTATTTTTAGTTTCTTATGGCTACCGTTGTGGGAACGAAATATGCGATTAAAAAAGTTTGACTTGCAATTGATAAGCAGGCAGAGCTGGGCAGAATACTTTCAAAAAGTATTTGAATACTAAATACTTTTACGTCCAGCACAAGCGAATACTAGATACAGATACATTGTAAAGTATTCAAATACTTTAAAAAATAAGTATTCAAATACTTCAGAATGTATTCGAATACTTTCAAAAGTATTCTAATACTATCAAAGGTATTCGAATACTATAAAAAGTGTTCGAATACTTTGAAAAGTATTTCATTATCTTACTTTGAAAAGTATTCAAATACTTGTCACTCAAATACATTAAAAATTTAAAATAGCATACTAGATAAAAATCTTAATACTACCAAAGACTATCCTCCTAGTTTTTGATACTACTTAAAAAATCAAGTTATACTTTGTTTGGGGTTAGCTTTTTTTATATTTCTATTGTTATATACAAATTTAAGGGGAGTAAAAGCGTATTATTATTATATTATTACATAGGAGGTAACTACCAGAACCTTTCTTATACCATTTATATCCTTAAGAATACGTGTACCAGTTTTCAAAGCGATCGTACGTCGTGCACATGATACGTACGCCTTTCTGAAATTAATCCTAGCGCTTTTGGAACATATTTTTGACCATCCGTTTGTCCGTGTGCATGATAGTTTGTTTAGAAACCTGCGATCGCTTTGAAAATTGGTACACATGGTTTTAAAGGATATAAGAAAGGTCCTTATTGTTTTTAAGTTACGTAGACTATCGAGTCAAAAAGTTTCACTCCAAGATCGTTCGGTATTCAGTTGTATCGGATTTTTATATTTGATTTTGCGACAATGGAAACTTTCCCTAAACATTTCTAAATATGTTCTCAAATATTTGAATAATAACTTAAAAGTACTGCCTTTTTTTGAGGCCGGAAAAAAAAAATTGTCTGAGATCGAGATCGATCGAGAGTCCATAATTTCGAACAGTTTGAAGATTGGGCTACTAGATCAAAAGTTACAGCCCTTTGAATTTTCTTTCGAAATTGGTTTCTAGTCTATAACTTTTGATTGAAAAATCTAATCGAAACAGTACGAATTGTTTTGGATTCTACGCACCAAAATTAATAAGAAAAAGTGTTTTCCCGAGAAATTTTGGAGTAGTCGATTTTTGGTAAAAAAGGAAGGTTAAGTATCCAAATACTTTGCGAAGTATTCGAATACTAAATATTTGTCAAAGTATTTGAGTTACAAATACAAATACTGCTTCCATAATAGTTATTTATGGTATAAGTGTGTTATATTACAAATAAGTCACGCGAGAAAAAAGTAAGGGTTATTTTCTCAAGTGACTTATTTGTAATTAACACACGTGCACCATACAAAACTTTATCCAACACCTCCTCAAGCTGGTTTAAAACGTGGAAATCTTAAAAACTGCGTGTTCCGCGAAAAGCTAGAGTGCATGGAATACAAAAGCAATAATTCGTTGCTATGGGGAATAATAAACAACAAAATATTTAGTCAGAAAATTTATATGGATTTACTTATGGTTCCTGTACTTTATCTTGCTAGTGAGTTATTTTACGTCCATAACTCATTAGTGGGTTATATTATACCTTACTCGTTTAATTTCGTCATGATAATGACTGGATAACATAGAGGTGTTGGATAAAAGTACAGAGTGAGCAACAAAGATTGAAGCGTGCCGCTTCAGCTAAATTGGCAATGTGCCGCTCATAGCATATGCTGATTTGATACAAGATACGAAATACGAATAGACGCACGTCACTGTGACAGCGCAGAACGTCATTTTCGTATACAACTCCATACAAAGAAGGTAGTTTTGATATTAATAGGAACAAGCGGTGATGACGCACGCTTCAATCATTGTTGCTCACACTGTATTTAATTACAAAGTATTTGAATACTTTAAAGGATTTGAATACTAAAAAGTATTTAAAAAATCGAATACTGCCCAGCTCTGTCAGCAGGTACCTAAGTACTAGAGATGTAACGGGGCTTCGGTTCCGATTCCGAAAGAACGGAACATCCGATTCCGATTTCGGTTCCGACAAATTTTAATCGGATGTTATATCGGAGGTTGATCTTACATATTAGTATTGTTTAAGATGTGACATGTCTCTTCTTTACGGTTCCGATTCCGATTTCGGTTCCGATATAACCACTTCCGTTACATCCCTATTAAGTACCTATAACTGCAAGAAACGTTCATTGTCAAATGATTCGAGTTTGAAGATTAGGTTTTTTAAAGTATAATATTTAGTGATTTCTACCCGTGTAGGGGCGGGAAAGAATACCCCTACTGCAGAGACACTGCATGTCGTAAGAGGCGACTAATCAACGGTGGTCCCAACCCGAGGTCCAACCAGCACTGGATATGAAGCACTGGAGCAGGAAGATCGTTCGATTGTTGTTGGTGATGGGATGTACCAGAAGGAGGATGTAAGTACTGATCTTCACTTGTTTTACACGGTTTTCATTGTACTGTTATGTTGTGAGTTGGTTGTCGCGCCTGCGTCGTATTGTTACCAAGAGCGAATTTCTGTTAATGTATCGCCCTTTGGCAATTTCTATTCCTATGCAAAGAAAGTATGCAGATGAAAATGAAAATTTAATTGCATACCTACGTTGTAGTGCTAATTTTTTAGTCCCGTTCAAACTAAAAGATTTCTATTGATTAGCTTCCTAGCATGTGCTAGGTAGCTATTGCGATAGCCGTTTTTTGAACATTTCAAAATTTTATCAAATGTCGACGTTTTAGACCATTTTAAGCAATTTTTAAAGAATAAAATTTTTTTCCGTCTGTATGTACGGACGTACGTGTACGTACGTACGTTTGTTGGCAATTTTCTGAGAAAACGGCTCGACGGATTTTGTTGAAATTTTGTATACCGTGTGGTGCCTAGCGCCACTCAGCATAGGGATTTCAATGGTAATTTCTTTATAGTATTATAGTTTATATATTCTCCCCTAATTATTTTAGAGCAAAAGTCTAAATAGGTTTTTTTTAGAGAAAAAAATACTGCATCTGTTCATACTATTACTTATAATTTTCCGTTTTTCAAAACTGTAGAAATCGACAAAATAATAAGGTTCATTTTACAATAAATCAAATATGCCTTGGAATTACCTAAAAAAACAGCGATCACGTTTCATTATTTGCCTTTGACGTTTATTAAATTTATACTTGTTTATATATTAGTTAAAGAAGTGCAAGTGCAATAACGTTCAAAATGTCCGTCAAAAACATCAGGAAAACGACAATACATTCAACCTCGCATTCAACGTTTTGGATGCAGTAGCGGAAAATCCGAATATAAGTTTAAGAACGATTCTTCCCCAAATCAGTTTTTTTTCTTCGATTATGGTACTCTGATTCCGGAAAATGATAAACAAATAGTATCTGATGCAGATGCAGCATACATTCTCTAAAAAAACATTACCCTAAGATGCCTTTTATTGCGTCGGTTAGTTGAAACAGAATTAAACATGAAAATCGTTCGACGTTAAACAATGATAACTTAGATGGGATGCGCTTGTAGTTTGTTAAAAGCTTCCAAAGCATCACTGATTTATTAAAATATAATTTTTTATTTTGTCGATTTCTACGGTTTTGAAAAATGGAAAATTATACCTAAAAGTATGAACAGATGCAGTATTTTTTTCTCTAAAAAAAACCTATTTAGACTTTTGCTCTAAAATAATTTGGGGAGCTAGTAATTGACTATAAAGAAATTGCCATTGAAATCCCTATGCTGCGTCGCGCTAGGCACCACCCTGTATATGTTTTAGGCATACCGAACAAAAAAATAACGGGCCGGATTTTTGAAAAGAAATTTTGGAGCGCCGTAACGGCATCGAACTTTTTTTTTCAAATAGCAACCTAAAATTTTTATTCTATTATTTGGAAGACCTTATTTTCCTGTGTACAACCTACAAAAAATTGGGCCGGGTTATATTATCAAAAAACGGAGAAAAAAATTGTCAAAGTCAAAAAATTGTGTTGCATATGTGCAAAACGCAACGATCTTGTTTCTGAAGCAATTTAAACGAAATTTCTATGGTAAGTCCCTTTAATAAAAGCAAACAAAATTCATGCGCAAAAATCGTGTTGCGCATGCGCAGAAATGCAATTTTCTTATTTATGGAACATTAGCTTCCTAGCATGTGTTAGGTAGCTATTGCTGTTTTATTTGCGGGGCTTTGACGTACTACAGTAAATCCAACCTCCCCTATACGTTTAAAATAGGTATGGGGGAAGGTGAGAGTTTCTTCAGACTTTAGTGATATCAATAGAAGTTTAGTGTACCAACTGATTAATCGCGCACACCTTAAATTCTTATTTTTTACGTGAAGTATCAGTAGGCTTTTTCGTGTGAAAGATCTGCTGTTCCTTTGGTATAAACTAATTAAAAATGCGCTAATAATAACATACAAAATAGTTTATTTTAATCTGCTATAACCAAATTATTATTTCATTCTCGCCGACTATTCTCCTCCGTGCCGAAATCAGTACAACTAGTATCCTCCACAAGTAAATTTACTTTGACCTGCACATTCGGGCCTGAGGGAATGTGTTCTTTTGATTTGGACTTCGATTTCGTTGTTAACGCCTTTAAATAATTCAGATAATTATCGAATTTATTATACAACCATTGATATACCTTTGGCACATCGTCTGGGCAGCAGTGGCTCGTTTTGCAACCTTCACTTTGACAATGCATAAGGCACTCGAGAGCATCGTCTATATCATCGACACTATCAATATTTTGTTTTCTATTAAAAAACTCGGGCTGAATGGTTACTTGCGTGATGCCGTATTCCCGAAAAAAATCCGTTATCCTATCGGTTATTTTCGAGTATACCTGAAAGTGGTCATTACTCATTAGGTATAGGTACCTATACGTTTTTGGGAAACTTACAAAAGGATTTTCAAAAATGATGTGCGCCGTCGAAATAACTTTAGTTGCCGTTAGCTGCCAAATGTGCAGATCGTGTATATTAATAATATCTGGAAAGTGTTCTAGTAGTTCTGATCTCAAAGATTCAATGTTAATCGTGTCGGGTATCGTTTGCAACAAAATCAGACAGCTTTCTTTCACTAAAACATTTTGTCAACTCAAAATCCACCAATGAAAAATACTTACTGTATGGAAAGCTAAGTACCATCAGTATAATGGCGGACAAAATGGATAATAATGGATCGATAAATTTCGCTACGTTTTCTTCGGTAAAATGAACCAAAACGGCGCAAATTATAACAATAATACAACCAATAGCGTCGCGCAACATTTCTTTACACCCTTGCCTCTGCTTGTACTTCGCATTTTGAGTTTTCGCGAATCTCTTTTCTCCTCTCGAAACTGCGTCATTTGAAACTACGCGATTTAGAACGACGCATCCCTCCTCGTTCATATACAAGAAGCTTCCTTGGTGAAACGTGTAACCTGCAGGTGAATGTAATTAATACTCGCGTTAAACAACTTCGCTTTACCTACCTCCTATTAATAGATAACAAATTACATTTAATACAAGACCTACGATACCTACAATAAAAACGGGAATCGTATGATGCATTTCGTCGTGATGGCCAATGTGAACCAAGGTCTGAAGCGCCTCCACCACTATCGAAAAACTTAACGAAGCTAAAAATACGCAACATATCAATAATCCAATAACGTCTATTCGGGCCCATCCGAAAGTATTTTTTAGTTTCTTCTCTTGAGAGCCTAGGCAATTCGTGGACGGCTGAATTTTGTCGCAATTCGCCGATGTTTCGGAAGATTCGGTTGCGGTCTTATCATCTATTTGTGGGTTTCCGGACGCTTGAAGGGTTTTTGAGCCATACTGGAATAGATATACAACCTTTCAGTGATTTTCTATCGTATTGCTTTAGGGGATGGGGCTGCTGTTAAAAGTATACTTGTTGTGTTTAATGCGGACCCATTGAGGAGAGCCCTAACCATTAGTTACTCTTTTACTTAAATTGCTGACGTATAGGGCCCGTACATACCTACCACGATAGTTTAATCTCAGTTCATTTGCCTGACTGAAGGAAGAAATTTGATTGGTTAAAATTCAAAAACTATTCGATCAAGTTTCATAATTATGTGCGGCTTATTCACATTTACAAGGGTTGAAAATCCCACTCGCACTAATTACAATTGACCCTCTACGCCACTGGAACAAACGCAATTTTGAAGAGCGCATACTTTCCTAAATACGTTTGTCGTCTTATCGCGGAAGTTAAACTCTTTTTTGAACTACGTGTCTTTTATCGTTAAACTTACTTCTGCTCATGTTTCGTATGAAGCGGTATATTATATGTGTAAATTTCCGTGTGTTGAACAAAATACAAATTCGAAAAAAAAACTTTCTGAAACAATTAAGCGACCACCCGTTACAATGTTGAACTATAGTAGTACATCCGGTTGTCTTATTTGATATTTTTCAAACTTAATAAAATAAATAGAAGCACATTTAATTTCTTAATAACATTGACATTGTGGCTTTAAGATGCTTTAGGTGTAAAATATCTCCACAATTTGTAATTGGTATAGGTTCTTATTGTTAAAAAAAAGTGTACACGTATTCAGTTATACAGGGTGTCAATTTTAAAACTTGCAGTCGGACATATTTTCCAAACTAAAGAAGATATTGAAAATCGCGCAAAACCGTTTCGGGGGTATGGAGGGGGAACCAGAATGACATTATGAGTGACAACCCCCCACCCCCCATTAACCCCCCAGCCCCTCCTCTACAAAAATCCTAAATGGCAACCCCATACTTGTGACACATCGTTGGAAAGCTACTGAAAAATGCTTTCCAGTGGATTCATTAAGACAATTTAAAACAAAAATTTAATAATTAACAAAAAAAATAAAAATTAAGCCATGCCTATGTTCAAGATTTGGTCGCTAAATTCGAAGAAACGGGATCTGTTATCAATAAAAAAAGAAAGCAACCAAGATTGCTTAATGAAGCAGCTCAGGTTGAAGTTCTTGGCCAATTTGCCATAAATCCCTCAATGTCAACATTTAGTTTTTTTTTTGTTAATTGGAAAATGTTTGTTGAATTATCTTAATGAATATTGACTTTATTGGTACCACGGGAAAGCATTTTTCTGTAGCTTTCCAACAATGTGTCACAAGTATGGGGTTGCCATTTAGGATTTTTGTAGAGGAGGGGCTGGGGGGTTAATGGGGGGTGGGGGGTTGTCACTCATAATGTCATTCTGGTTCCCCCTCGATACCCCTGAAACGGTTTTGCGCGATTTTCAATATCTTTTTTAGTTTGGAAAATATGTCCGACTGCAAGTTTTAAAATGGACACCCCGTATATTGGGTTTTAGCCCAACATCCCCGTTTACCGATTTATTCCCATTTATTCCAGAAAATGTACATTTATTCCAGAGTGGATCAACTCTTGTAAAAACTAAGAAATCCATCTTCTCCATCAACTTAAAGAAGTTAAATCACGAGTCGAGTATTCTATCAAACCCCGTCCAGGGGGCGCATGTTTTTAAAAACCGAAATAGCATATATATATTGGGTTATAAGGTTTATTTATTGATGTTTCTTCTTGGGAAATGATTAATGGGGACGAGGGTCTTTACACATTTCCATCCATTTCTTAAGATTTTTCCTCTTCTTAAAATTCCTTAAAAAGAATTCCAAGCTATTCGAATGCTTAACATTCCCATTTTATAAAATCTTAAGATTTCTTAAACTTTTCTTTCTGTTTCTTTGAGTTTTTTCAAATTTTGTACTGGACTCTTTGACTATACTTGGCATTCAACCTTCATACTTACCCCAAACTGAATATCGGAAACGAGTGTTCTCGATTTAAAAGTATCGCGTTTTCTAACGCATCAAAAGGTAAATTGTACCCTTTAAAATTGAAATAGACCTGTCAATCGAGAATGACAATATCTTCACGCTGTTACTTTACTAATTCCAAAATCAATTCTGGTTGGGGGTAGCTTGAATGTATGAATTCTTTACTATTTTATCTACAGTGATATTTACTAAGAAGTAGACATGGGGATTTACGTCTATTGTTTTTCCCTATGTCTACTTTTAAAACACAAAGTCTCTTCTGTAGGGCGCCTAATTTTATGCAACCGAAATAACTCAAGCGCACACATCCTGCATTGCTGGTTTAACGCATCTTACTAAAAGAATTCATATCTTTTCTGTCAATATCCTTGCTTTTAAATAGTTTGGTTGGCAGGTGGGTACTTATATATTAAGCGATAGTAAAAGTAGTACGCTTTTAGGTGATGAAATAATAAAGTAAGTTATAGTTATTTACATAAAAGTCAGGAAAGTGGCACAAGTAATGTCATTTTACTGACGAGTTTTGTGTTAAATTTTACCCAAAATCGTATTTTTATATAAAATTTTAATTTTCATGTAGAACTTTTGATTAATGTCAATTTGTCAGATGATGACAGGAGTCGTTATAGACATTTAGCCATGTCACATGTGATAGGTGCTGAAACAAATCAAAATTGAAAAATTATCGTATAGAATAATGATTTTGGGTAAATTAAAATACCGAAACCAAACCAACAGTATTCAAATTAATGAATATGACAGCTAGATCTTTATTTGTTTTAAGAAGTTATTTTAGTTGCATAAAATTAGGCGCCCTTCAGAAGAGATTTTTTCTTTTAAAAGTACACATAGGGAAAAATACATACCTACATACATTTTTTACAGCTCACACGAAATTTCCTTGAAGCGTAATGTCAACTTAACATTCTGAGTTGCAACCCAAAATTTTGATTAGTAAATAGCACATTGTAATTTGAGCCATACAAATATTTTTAATGGAAAATCGTTGTTTAAACAGCATTACTTACCTTCACAGTTATTATACACGTTAGCAGTGCAAGTATGTTGCAAAGTGTATGGTACGAGTCCATTAACAATGTTATGGCATGTGTAAAATGACTGATTACCAGCTCGACAATAAAAAATGTGATTGTTAACGTTAATATGATGTATAGCTTCACAGGTTGCAACTCCTGGAACCATTCCTTCATAGGCATTATTCAACTAAAACAAACACACTGTATTAACATTCAATAAACATGACTGAATACTTTAATTATTGTATTATGTGGGAAAGACCATTAAAAAACAGCGCAATCTTCCATAATCAGTAGGTGTTTACTTTGTCTAGGAGACGTTAACATTTTGAAACATTTAATCTGCACCACCTACAGCGCACCATGTAGTGTATAAAAAACGTGCTCTGGGATTGACCGATTATGGCACTTACAGCAGCAGGATGTTCCTTCATTGTATTCTATTTATGCTATGTTATATAATTATGCAATTACAATTGTAAATAAGTGGACACTGGTTCGCAGAATCACAATTTGTTGCGCTCACTCTTCGGTACCTACTCGTTGTTCGACGTACGTAAATCGATCAAGATTTTTTAAATTAAAAAATCTAGTTTCCGTCGTACTATTATCTGTGCTATTATTACACATGAAATAAATGTAGATATAGGTAGTACAAATGGTAGTGTTTACTACTATACCTACGTACAAGAAGGGTGACAGTACAGTCTTATATGCGTCAATGTTGAACTAAGAACTCTAATGTTTGTTTACTATAGAGAATTGATTAGATTAATATTATCATAATTAAATGTTAATAACCGAGATTGTTCTGCATAATTGGAAGGGGAACGCGGTACATGTGCAAAAAAAAAAACGCTTACCTATCTTCGTTTTTTGCTAATAGTCTGACGAAAAGATGTAGCACGTTTTAGGCACTCAGTTCTTTTTGGTAGCGTGTAGTTTGATAACATATATCAATAATTAAACTGTAATTTATCGTACAGTTGCTCTTAAGTGTCTACTGTATTATGGGTAATAAGTAGGTAGGTTCGGTTCTCGACAGTAGATAAGGCGAGCTATCTTCGAGTATTATCCTTAGAGGAATTTAACGATCGTGAGTATAGCTCAAAGAATCTTCTCTTGTCTTGGTAGATAGCAAAACTATGCGTCTTCAAGTTGGAGAAAATTTCAATCTCCTTGTGTCAAAGGGTGTAGCCTTAGGGAGGAAGATGCCGTAGATTGTGGAATGATTATATAATATAAATTATAAAGAATCGTATACGATTTTTAGTAGGGGAACTTTTTTGATACTCGCATTCGGAAACACGACTTTTAATCCGGCTCATATTCAATACCACTTATCCTTAAACTTGTAGAAATCTGCTGGCGCTGTCCCTTTTCGTTCTCTAGACTCTCTAGAAGAGGAACGGGCGGACAGACAAAACTATCATGGGGAATATATTTCGAAAAATTACCCCAAAAATAAAATGTTACGAGAATTACTGAAAGGTGTTAAGCTATAAAAGTATAAAAGGTCAAAAGATTTTTCACCCTAAGGGCTAAGGTGCGATGCAATAGTTTAGCCATAATAATTATGGACAAATGTCAAAAATTGACAGACTTTACTGATTTCATTAATCTTTTTTTTAAGTTATCTAATATTTTTAGTATAAGGTTCTTACGGAAAGAAAAACTAAGAAAATTGCACAGAAAATTGCAGAGAGTTTACTCAGTTTTCAGTGATTTGGGAAATTCGAAGCTGCACATACGGGTTTTTTTTCTCTTAAATCTATGTATACTGTAAAAAACGGATTACATGCTTGAAATCATTATACTTGCCCCCAATGTTCACTCTCCTACTATACTTAGTTATTAATAGGAGCTAAGAATCATTTGTACATTTTAGCATTTCTACATTTCACCAGACTAATGCTTATTGATGTAGGATGTCACACACGCCCATAGAGTCTGGCATTTCTAGTCATAAAACTAATAGTTACTTATTATAACGGACGATCAAAAATGAGCTGCCGTCGAGTCGCCTTTGAAAGTTAAAGTTACGTACGATTTCCCATGTAAACAACAATTCCAAAGGTGACTCGCATCCAGTTTGAAATAAGAATGAGAGATGTCATTAGAATGCACAATCATCTGTTTCACTTTACCTATCCTACTCATTCTAACCTATTAAAATGTCATTTTAACATAATTATGACACAAAATAAAGACTAATAGCAAAGGCTAATCCGAATTTGACATTAAATAAGTTACTGTTTCCATAGCAGACGCAGGTTACCATTTCAAACAAATTCGTGTAAAGTTGGTTGCCTATTATAGCCATCTAATTCATGCATTTGATATGTTTTTTTAAAGTATACATGTCCCTTCATGTATATACATTTAAAAAAATTTCCTGTCTGAGTACGTGTATGAGCTTAACAATATTGGTAGCTTGATATTACCGAGTGCGGGAATACGAGGATTTGCGCACTATATGCGCTATGATTATTATTATGGTTAAAATTTTAATAAATATTCCTATACATAAGAAAGTTGACATTTCGCAGTCTGTCCATGTGCATATGTAATTTATACTATACGGGGTGTCTTAAATTGTGCAGGATAACATGGCTATCTTTGTTATCAGTATACTTACAGATTCGGTTACATTGGCAAAGTTGTGTAGTTTTTGATGGTGATGGATATTCCGTTGTGATATTTTGAAAAAATAAATCGTTTTATAAAAAAAGTGAAAATCGCCATTTTTAAGAAGTTTAATTATTTTAAAAAGTTCAAATAAAAGTAGCAAAATTCTATGGGATAAATTCAATGGATGTAGAACAAAAATTTTCAAAATGACGGTTTTTGAGATATTGACGTCAACTTCCTTATTTGAAATGGACGCCATATTGGATTTTTACGTCACTCGATAGACAAAAAAATTACAAAATCAGTGATACTAAACACTTAGTATTTCATTTAGGAATCAACCTTGCATTTTTGCCTTGAAGTTTATTTATGTATTTTTATTTATTATCCCTCTCTTGTTCTGGGCCCTCAACTGACTTGCGCCCTATTAGAATGTATAATTCCATGGCCGTGTTGATGGTGACTATATCTGAGACAAAATAAACGAACGAATTTGATTTCAATCACACTGGCTTTCTCAAAAAATAAGAAAGTAGTAGCCTATAACTAACTACCTACATCTAGCGTGTTAAGGGAAATTCTGACAGCAGATTCAGAGTCTCCAAAAAAAGGTGCCCCTATTAGAAGGTGGTAGGGGGAACCGTCCATTTCCGACCGTTTAAGCTAGGGAGCCCTGGAGCACTTCTCGATATTGTTGATGATATATTAAAAGCTGTGGATCAAGGTAACTGTTTATTATTAGCGCTTCTTGACTATTCAAAGGCATTCGACACTGTGAATCATTCTCTGCTTGTGTCCATTTTAGGTTACCTAGGTCTTAACGCTGAAGCAGTTGCATTTTTTCGTAGCTATTTATGTAATAGAAAACAGATCGTGTGCATGGGAAATAATCAATCAAGTCCTGTTACAGTACAGTCGGGAGTGCCTCAGGGTTCCATACTCGGTCCCCTACTTTTTACGATTTACACCGCGTTTTTATATAAGGACATAAAGCATACCAAAGTCCATATTTTTGCAGATGATACTCAGATCTATATCTCATTCCCTAAAAGTGAATTTCAAAGCGCAGTAAACAATCTAAATCTGGACCTCCAACAATTGTCAACAAATTCTAATAAATATAATCTTACCTTAAACTCTAATAAATGTAAAGTTATGCTATTTGGGAGTAAGAGGAATAGACTACAGTTAATAAATCTCACTCGAGTATCCATGAACGGTACAATACTCCCACTTGTGGATAGTGCTAAAAATCTTGGGCTCATTATGGATTCAGATTTGCGATTTAAGTTGCATATCTCAAAATTAATGCAAAAATCATATTTTACGCTGAAATTGTTGTATTCTCATAGGCATTCATTAAATCAACATTTAAAAAAGTTGCTTTGCGATACTCTCATTTTATCGAATTTTAATTATTGTGATGTCGTCTACAGTTCAAATTTGGATTCCTGCGAAATAAGACGAATTCAAATCGTTCAAAACTCCTGTCTTAGGTTTATATTTGGCGTCAGAAGAAGGGAAGGAATTTCCCATTACATTAGTAAGGCAGGTTGGTTGAAAATGGAAGATCGAAGGAAGCTGCATTGCTACTGCACTTTTTATAAAATAGTTGTCAATAAATGCCCACAATTTCTGGTTAACAAAATACGGTTCAGAACTGACACTCATAATATTAATATACGAAGAAAGGATTTACTTATTACAATCCCTAAGCACAATCTTCAGTTATATAAAAGGTCCTTCTCTTATTTAATAGCTTTTTATCTAAACAAACTAAAAATTAACTTTTCATCTATGTCGCTAGCACAGTTCAAAACCTTAATTAAAAATAAGCTTTATTCTGGTGAAGTGTAATACCTATAATTAATGTACATTTGTACCATCTTACTCAATTGAAATCATTGACTTATAACTTTCTCTAAGATTGATGGTCCTTCTCTTATTTAATAGGTCGCTAGCACAGTGGGTGAAGTGTAATACCTATAATTAATGTACATTTGTACCAACTTACTCAATTGAAATCATTGACTTATAACTTTCTCTCCTTTTCACAATTTAATGGATGTAGGTAGATTTCCACGACTGAAGTATACCTCTCTATGGCGTATTGGGGCTGAGTGGTAGACCAGATGGTTAATATTTTTGACCAATCTGAATCTTAACCCCTTGGGGGAAACTGGAAGGACTAAGAAATTGTAATGATCATGTACCTGATGATGTATTCCATGTTAAACCCAATAAACGATTTATTATTATTATTATTATTATTATTAAATGAAAACTAAATTTGACATTTTTCGTTTTCCGGTAATATTGCGGTGAGCCCCGAATTTGAACCACCCTGGTACTGTACATTCCATTACCTATAGATTATTGTATTCATTCAACATTAACATTGACTAAGGGTGCCTGGTTTGAATCCGGGTTCGGACATGGATATTTGTAAATGTATAGCGGGCTGTGTTGGTAGAGCAGCTTTGGCTGAAACCCAGCCTACTAAAAAATAAAGGCAAAAATAAATAAGTAATAAATAAATAAATATTGCACTCGAAATAGGATAGGGAAATTGCACGTAGGTATATAGGTACTCCTTTAAAAGGATCTCTCTGTGACTGTATGTAACCTTTTTTAGTTTTACGTTCAAGTACATAGGTACTTACGGACGGACGGACAAAACGCAAACAATAGCACATTTTTTTAATTCTGACAAAAATGCGCTAAAAGTCAAAACTACCCCTTAGTTTGCAATTTTAGTGATTTCTAGTGTTAGATAATATGACTAGCCTAAGATGTTTCTATTTTCTAGTAAAGGAAAACGTCGCATATAGTAAAAATCAAATGTGCCATGCGCTCACTGCGCAATGTCAATTTCCTTACGTATCTTTATATACAGGGTGGCCCAACCAAAACGAAACAGACCGAATAACTCGTAAGGAAATAGTTTTTGAAACAAACGCAAAAACACGTAAATTTGAGTTGAAAGGGAGACATATTTTACTTCAAAATTTACACCCCTGCTGTCAGGCCTCTAATCAGAGTTGTCACCCCTTCAAT